GATTCATAAAATTCACTTCATTTTTGTTCTTTCTTTGAATTTATTTTGCATGTAGAAACAATCTCCAAGAGTTGAAAACTGTTTCAAGGTCTACTGTGGAAATGAGATTTGTTGTGCCATTTTGTTAGCTTCCAATAACAAGATTCATCCTAAAATAATAAAGGCAAATGTTGCCAGAGAACTGAAAATAGATTATGAAAATTTTTAAAATTCTCCGAAGTGTTATCTCCAGGCAAGTGGAAAAATAATTAGTTTCTCCTAGACTCTTATCTACAGCACCACAAAGGCACCATGCAAGCTTCAGTATGCTTTGTTGATTGGATGGTTGCTATGCCACAATGCCATTGCATTTACCATAAGTTTGTAGCAACATTTCACCCTCACCTAAGCTGCATAAGCGCAGCTGTAATCGATGCATTACATGCACTTGCCTGGTTACTCAACAAACACTAACATAGAGGGGGAGGTGTCTTTCTTTATTTCTAACAAGGAAAATAATATTACTGGGACTTTATGAACATGTTTTACCCTTGCATTGTGCAGTAAATGAGAGAATAAGTTTTCTTGATTGCTACTCTCAAATACTTTTCAGAAAGCATGTAGAAATGGAGCCAGCAAAAGGTTTGCCAGTTTGTACATGACAGCCATGCATTTTGTGTTACAATTGCCTATAGGTCAACCATTGCAATATAAGGAAATTTGAGCATTTTAGTTTATGTGGCATATTAATGTGTTATGTTCTCACTCAAAATATTCACTGTCACAGGCTGCACAGCTGCTCAGGCATCCGCATCTTCAGCCTTATGTCCTTAAGATTCATCTTAAGATGAGCAGCCCTAGACAGAATACATTACCTTTCCAATGGCCTGAACCCCATTACATGAAGAAAACAAGATTCTTAGTGCCAGAAGATAATCCTCGCAAAGTTCAGAGGGACAAGAGGTATTCACTTGGTAATGATAGGGCATTAAATCCAAGTATATCTGTAGCAGAGCAAGATTCTGTGTGTTCTACTGAAGGGATACATGATACACCGATTTATTTGAATCGAAGGTTATCAGATTCATCCATTGAGTGCAGCCAAGGAACAGTCATTTGCAGATCAATTGCTTCAAAACCTTCAAACAGTGCCAAGACTCCAAAACGCACACCGACCAAAGCCTCTGTCTCTATTAAGAGACGGACAGAGTCTGCAGGAAAATGTGAATCTGTAAGCACGTGAATCTCTCTCTCTGCCCCCCTCTCTCACATGCACGCAAATACACAAATGAAGAAATTATGAACAACTTCTGATAGTTTTACAATTTGGATCTCACACGTCCTTTTATTAACTTTTCAGCTTCCTGTCACCCGAAAAACTCCGACTACAAAATCCAACCCATCAGCTCGCAGAGCATCTTTTCCATTGCCGTCAAAAGGCAGGATACAAAATTCCCCGAGTGGGACTAATATTAGCATCCTTAGCCAGATAAAATCTCCGGATGTTTCTGTCAATGCTCCTCGAATTGATAGGATGGCTGAATTCCCGCTGGCTTCATATGATGAACCATTCCTCCCTATCCGGAAAACTTCATCAACCTCAGCACGAGGGTCATCCAACTCCTTGCGTCATGGTGACTGCTCAATCACAAAGGATAAATGCACAGTTCAGTTCAGCGATAGAACCTCTGCAAGGCCCAATCTCACAGAGGCATGGCAAGGAATTGAACTTGGTTTGTTTCAGGTAGATGAAGAGAACGGAAGCAATTCCTCCAATCAAAATGCCACTGCTGGGGCATCAAGCCGCACCTCATCAGACACGAGGCAGCGCAGGTTTGACACCTCATCACTCCAGCAGCGCGCAGAAGCTCTGGAAGGTTTGTTAGAATTCAGTGCAAGATTGCTGCAAGCGGCAAGGTACGATGAGCTTGGGGTGCTGCTAAAGCCATTTGGACCTGGAAAGGTCTCCCCCAGGGAAACTGCCATATGGCTGACAAAGAGCTTCAAGGAAAATACTGCCAAACCAGAAGATTGACAGCGACCGGTTCCGTGTGTACTATATTTTGCAACTGCAACAATTTTTAGAGTCTGCTCTATCGGCTTTTTGGCTACGATTTATGGGGGAGACGATAGATATTTAGGCAGACAACTTTATAGGTTGTAAAATTTTTAAGCCGATTGAGATGCCCCATTACTATATGTTATTTATGCAAATGAACAGAAGTAACAAGGCCGTGTCCCTGTATGCAGTATGCTATACTTCCATGGCGGAACCGTGGTAAACTAGATGTGTTTAACTTAAATCACTTCCATACTTCTCTTTTAAATTTCCAATTGATGGGATGGGCCGTCAACCTGGTCTTGTCAAAAGCAAAAAAGAAAAACAGACTAGAAAATATAAATCTTATGCCACGCTGGGTCGTTACTTTCAGTTTGGTTTTATTTTATTTGATTTTTATTAATCAAAACAATAAAATTAAAATTTTATAAAATATTAAAAATTAAATTGAAATTAAATTAATATTAACTTTAACTTAACTTACTGATTTTGATTTGGTTTGATTTTATTTTAAATTAAATTTATTTGATTTAGTTGAGGTTTTTCAGTTTCAAACTTATAAAATCGAAACCAAATAAAATTTTTAAAAATATTTTAATTTGTTTAATTGGATTTTTTTATAATTTAATTTTTAAATTATTTTTTAATACACTCAATTTATTTAGTTTGTTCATTATCAGTTTAATTAATTTATTTATTTTTTGAGGACTGAAATCATGTTAGCATATTTAAAAGTGTAATAATAATTGTTTTTCAAAATATTTTTTATTTAAAAATTATGTTAATAATTTTTTTTATTTTTTAAAAATTAGTTTTAAAATTAATATATCAAAATAATTTTAAAATAAAAAAAAAACATATTAATTTAAAATAAAAAAATTAAATATTTTTAAAAATACTTTTAAAATACAATACCAAACATACCTGCCCAAAAGTCACATAGTGTTAAAAAATCTTGACAAACGACCAAACACACTTGTCACCTTTTTGTGCAACGAAGATTACAAGGTTCCCATATATCTGGTTAATCGATAATGTGGAGTCTCGTTCAGGCGAGGTTCCGAGCTGATATACCCTGTAAGGCAGTGAAGAGTATTTTCTAATTAAAAATATATATTAATACATTAAAAATGCTTAATGATTTTTCAAGTTTTGAAAGCAAAAGCCACAGTAATGCATGCAGGCAAAAGCAAAAGAAAGAAAAAGTTGTATTAATAAATAAAAGTTGAAGGATGTTTGTTTATTATCATTGTTTATATTTTCAACTTCAAGGACTGTTCTTGTTCTGTCTGTCTTGCGGTTAGAGATGCTTTTTCTTTAACTGTGTAATTCCGATGACAATTCCATCTCCAATTGTTATAAAAATTTAGGTTTAATAAAAATATAAATTTCTAGGGTTTTTACAAAATTACAACTATAAAAAGTATTTATTATTATAATAATGATTGTTTTTCAGAGTAATATCAAAATAATATATTTTTTATAAATTTATTTTTAATACCAACAAATTAAAATCATTTTAAAATATAAAAATATTTAATTTTTTTAATATTTTAAAAATATATTAATAAACAAGTTCTAAGTAATTAGGAAGAACCCACCACCTTAACCATTCCCATTTTGCGTGGAGCTAAACTCCATACCAGAGAAGTTAGAAAAGCACCAAAGACTCGGTCAACTAAGGTGTTTTACATCCAGAACACTGTGTTGGAGACTTCCGTGAATTTGAATTGGGATAATTTTTATGATTGTAATTTAAAAAAATTATTTTATCAAAAGTAATTTTAATTAACATCAATTATATATATATATATATTAATATATTAATATTGATGATTTTTAATTTAAATATTATAGATTTAACTATTATTATTATATCATTAAATAAATAATATTTTATATCAAATATTTTTTATTATTTTATTAACTTATCTATAATTTCATTATATATAAAATTCATCTGATAAACATTATAATTTTCATGATTTTTTGGATGTGCAACAAAACAAAATCAGGTAAAATATCATCAGAAATAAAATTAAAATTACGATAAAATTTCACAAATATTATATTATCATGCGATACTTTTTTAATTTATATAGTATTATTAAATAATATTAAACATTAACTTTTTAATAAAATATAAATTTTTTAAAAAATTTAACAGGTCCCTCCAACAAACACTTTTCACATTAATACTACTTAAAAAAAAATCATCTAATACTGTTCATGTAAACAGTATCAGATGAATGCTTCTTATGTTATCATGCGAGTTATATAATTCATATGGATATAGTTCACTTTTTGGAGTTAACAATGACAAAGTGAATTATTAATTCACACACTGTTATGCACAGTAGCAGGTGAATTGCACGAGAAGCAATTCTAAACTACTGTGTGCAAAATAAAAATTTGAAGAAAAAATTTATGCGTCACACTAAATAGTAAATTGCTTCTTTTTTTTATTTTTTTTTATATCACTAACCGTGTAGTTTACATGTTTGTTCTAAAAGCTAAAACCGCTGTATAAACAAACATCTAATTAAAAACAAAACCAAAAAATAAAAATAAAAAAGCTTGTTTTTAGAGGAAAAAACTTGCCCTAGAAAAGACAGAAGTTTGAACAGGTGCGAAGACCTCATCAAGGGAGAAGAATCTTTACCATCAACCTTTAGGAGCGTGGCAAATGGCTTGATCACAAAACCTTCTGCAGGCCTCAATTAGCCTATCGACTATGACACAAGTCGGCTTGACCGGGGTTAGGAAGAAGAAGATGTATACTTGTATACAACATGCAAACATGAGTCAGCAAAGATCATCTTCCTTATGATTGGGTATAAATAAGATGGCCTCCGTCTTCGTGCTCAAGTAATTGGAGATACAGGCAGGTTCACTAGTTGCTCATCATTTTCTCCTTTCAGTGTTAAATATGGTTGGATCTTCGATGGGGTGATGCAAAACAATGGGAAAGGCAAGCAGGTGGATGATAAACTTCTTGCTAGGAAAAAAGGAGGAGAAAACAAAGAAGAACAATGTCTCCTTCCATGCAGAGAAGGAGACAACACCAACTGCAACTCCAGCTTATAAGAGGAGATGGAGCTTTGGCAAATCTGCAAAGAAAGAGAGAGTTTACAGGGGTCGTAGATCTCTTGACTCGATCATCACTACCCAATATTTAGCACACAGATCATCATTTGCTTTGCCAACCACCGAAGCTATTAAAAAAGTTGTCGTACAAACACATGCGGCAGATAGAATAAGAAAGGCAGTGGAAGATGCAGCTGCCACCAGGATTCAAGCTGTCTTTCGTTCTTATCTGGTATTCATACAAACTTCCTTTCTACTTGATTTTTAACCTTTCTTCATGGATGAGATATGTATATCAATCGCTTCATTGTACAGGCCAGGAAAGCTTTGTGTGCGTTGAGGGGATTGGTCAAGTTACAAGCATTAGTAAGGGGTCACCAGGTGAGGAAACAAACAACTGCAACTCTTCGACGAATGCATACACTCATGACAATACAAGCAAGAGCTTGTTGTCATAGAGTTCAGATGGCCGGAGAATCACAACAACTTGCCATGAAAAGGAAATCATCAAGACACAGAGTAAGTAGTCCCACTTTTGTCTGCAGTACCTTCCAAATCACGGTATCTTCTAGGATGAACTATAGGATGCAGCTAATTTGGAAATGATAATGTCCGTCACCCCAAAATCTGTCAACATAGCATAATATATATGATAACTTTGGTGTACCATCAGGGTTAACGAAAAACATGCAATCTAATCCTTCAAAATCTGATTTGTGATGCTAACTTGTGTTCATACATAGGAGGCAGTTGATGTTAATCTTCATGAAATCCGAGGAGTTTCGAAGAACAGAAGTGGATACATGAATCATTCATTAATAGACAGAGTAGAGAGAGAGATTCCCAGATTCTACTCTGGGGAACTAAAAATCTCTAGGCAAGAACATCAATACAAGGAGTTTTCCTTCACAGCACAAAACAGTCCCACAACTGGTTCTCCCCCTTCCAAAACAAACTGGGGAAGAGCTTCCTTCACTTACGGACGGCCAGACTATGTCGACACTCTTTCTAATCAATTTTCATCCCTACCAAGCTACATGGCCGACACAGAATCTTCCAAGGCTAAAGTCAGGTCACAAAGCGAACCAAAACAGCGACCTAAAGAAAGCACCAGAGTTAAAAACAAGCAAACTACTTGGATGGATGGACTGAATGGCCACCAAGATGCTCAGTCACAATGCTCATCTTCGCACTCAAAGCACATGGTTCATGAAAACCAAGATCCATGGTTTATAAAACTCTATAGACCAACAAAGTCAAAGGGCAGTTATGATGATGCCAACATCACAACTAGCACTCAATATTCCAACTACAGCAAAGTTCTTGTCACATATGAGGTGAGTTAGCAGTCAAATTTCATTTCAATATTTACTTCTATTCCTAATTATTTTTGGTTTTCTTGAGTCCTTTATTCTTCTGATTGCAGCCCCATCTGAATATCTACTAAAAGTTCATCCGATGGCCCATGATACCAGCTAAAGAATTTTTGGAATCACAAGACAAGCTAGTTGCTATCATGCTATCATAGCAGAAGCGTCAATTGTTGTAAATCTGTGCATTCAATATCTACAGGAGCTTTTTGGCTCAGCCATGAAAACTTGACAGAGAGAATTATTTTTTTCTTACAAGGAAAAACAATAGATATATATAATTTCAACAGAGAAATGCAGCCTTTTTCCAGAGGACAATAAACATTCCTAGCAATGAGTTTGGTCGTTTCACTGTCTGCTAACTAACCCGTGTGAGCATTGAATCCATTGACAAAATCTTTAAGTACTTCACGGTGACTTTACAATAGGCATAACAAAAAGATAGGTGGTTGTTTGATCACTAAATCAGTGCTGTTCCAAGAATTGTTTGATCACTAAATCAGTGGTGTTCCAAGAATAATTTGAAATCCCGTCCGAAACTTTTTTGCTCTCATAAATTGGTAAATTCTGCTCCGTAGAAAGCAGTCTGTCCTCTACACTACATATCTTTTGAGTAGTGATATACTCACTGGTTCAATGTTTTGTGGTACGCAAACTGCAAATATAACGAATAATTAGTTAGATGACATGGAACTTTCCTGCGAGTGGAAAAACAGAAGGAAAGTTTGACAGCTAGAAACGTAAAAAAATTGTCTAGATAAAACATATCCAACTATTTTTATTATGTCAAAAGAAGAATTTCGAAGGAATACGTACTGATGTTGACGTTTTCAGCAGCTCTCTTATGGCCATTGTTGCATGACATTAAGCTTGGGAGTGTGAGGATTAACTTGAGAACCTTCTGGGTTTCCCGTGAATTAGAATCAGAGACTTGTTCTGACCCTACTTCTCTCTCACCCTCCACCTCATTAGTGTCTGTTGATAAACCTGTACCGTTTTGAGAGTTCACTGGTTGTTTTGTGCAGACAGATGAATTTTCACCCTTGTCTCCCCTGCGTTGTTCATCTTGTTTGATTATGTTCATTTATCTAGCCTCGGAAATTTTATCCAGATCTGTGACTGCCAATGGTTTATTACTGTCATTATATGTAAGGAATTCCCGGAAAGGAAAAGAACAGTTGATGAATGATTAGCAATATTACCAGATATCTGTAGTCTGGCTCTAGACCAAAGAGCTCAATGATTTTTTCAAAAAGGGCATGCCATTCAAAGTCCAGTAGCTTCTGAAAAACAGGCCTATAACTTTCGTACTGGTTATGGAAAATTCCCTGCAAAGAACACCAACACACATAACTCCAATCAGAATAAAGCAAGCATGCATGGAGAGAGGGGGGGGGGGATTACAACGTACTAGACACTATAGACGCTTTCAGTCAAATTGATACCATCCTGGTCAAAACAATAAGACAATTATTAAAAGCAACAGCGCCCTCGAACTTGGAGCAACAAACAGTGATATACTCAGGAGCCTGCTTGTAATGAGAGGTCTTGTGGTGTGCTGCCTATTTGCTGAGAAATGAAAATTTAAGATGATGAAAGGAAAATCGTAACCTATCATAGACATCTTGACAACAGTCAAAGCCTTACCTGGGGTTTCTTCCAAGCTTAACGCGACAGAAACATGTAATATGCATGCTTATCTTTCTAATATGCTTAAATACACTCACAAACACCACAATATCCAGAAAGCAGTTGTGTCATAAAGAATTAGATAAGATGTACTAAGGTGTAACAACCTTCTTAGCCAAAGTCATGATAAACTTTGGCGATATGATATCATTTGTCGGAAGAATTACACTAGATCTGCCAGAAGAACAAAATTACAGTGTATTTTTGCGCTCTCTCACCTGCGCATGGTTCCACAAATAGCTTTGTTAACTGTGCACATACCTGAACAACAATAACAAGTGAAAGGATTGTGCGTAAATCTTCACAGCTCTCTTCCTCCGATAGGACATGCCTCTCCACAACTTCTTTTCATTAAGAGGACTCGAAGAAAACATGGCCCTTCACAGACTCTGTTATTATCTTATAAGATCCTCGGCGCATGCATGCTACATACATATAAGATATCCCTGTTGTAACAATCTGGGGAAGGCAGCATGTGGCCTTTCTGTATACTAGAGATAATGTGTTTTGAGGCGACACTGCATCAACAATTGAAATAATTTCCATGTAATGGTGCACTCATGTCGTTAAAAAGATAGTGTAGACGTAAATTGATCCATGAGTTTATCGGATGTGATGATGGAGGTGCCCATGAGTGAGGTGCCCAAGATGATTTCAGAAAGTACTTGCATAAGAATAAAAAATATGCTGTTTCTGCTAATTATTCCCAGAGAGCAGTCCATTTAGAAGAAAACTAGATTAAACTAGATTATTGCATGTCCTGCATCAAGAATTTTTTGAATCATGGATAACTAGTGATAATTTGGTTTTGATTTAGAAAAATAAATTCTAGATGACCAAAAACAAACCTGTGATAAAAAAAGGGTGATTTTTTGATAATTTATTATTGTCATATCATATATATAGTAGTTAAAAAAATAAAATTTTAAAATTCATCTAAAAAATTATAATAATATTTAAAAATCATATTAAAATAAATTAAAGAGTAAATAAATTAACCTTTTTTTAAGTGAAAACAAAAGGTAAAAAGAAAGGCCATGGGTTTACTCTTGAAGAAGGCCAAGTCCAAGTATCTAATTTTTTTTTTAAGATATTAAATGATAACAAAAAAAATAAAATAGATAACAAGTTATTTGTGATAGAAGATAACATGTCATTCACTTATCTGCTTATCTAGTTTTTAGCAGCCATAATAATTAGAAAATGAGCAAAAAAACCAAGTTTTATTTTTTGATTAAAAGAACTCATTTTTCAATTAAGACCTGATCTATATTTTTAAGTAACATGAATATACATAACAACCATCATCAAACTTTTATCATTTAATAAAATATTTTAATATCAAACTTGGCTATTTTGAATTTTAAAATCACAATAACCAAATACTTTTTCTTTGACCAATTTTCTAGCAGCTCTCTAATTCTCTTATATCAAGGGATCTAAAAATTAGAAAAGGATCAAATTGAAATTTAGCGTACACATGTGGCTAGCTATAAAATGTATCTTACCTTTACTTTTTGATCCTCAAATTTTTAATGTGATAATTTTACTATAATTTCATTCCTAATTCCATGCAATTAGGCTAGAAAAGCACGTACCAACACAAAAAATAACATAAAAAATCAAAAATAATGAAAATAAACTTCACCTCATAATATTAGGCTGGCCATTATATTTATCCGCGTTTTTCATTTTGATTCCTTATTATTAGTTTTTTCCAATACTTACTAAATTTAACAAGTAGTCATTAATTTGAACTTAGAAGCAGTGGCGGAGGCAAGGAGGCTGGCAGAGCCCCAGCCCCTGCAAGGAAAATTTTTTCAGTCCTTTCCTTGGTCTTCATTTAATACATATTTCAATAAAACAAATATTTTTAAAATAATTCTTTTAATTTGATCCTCCTCAATTTTTTTTTCCTACTCCACCCCTGCTTAGAAGGATTCAATTGAAAAAAGAAAAAAAATTGAGTTGGGAAAAAAGCTACAGTGATTGCCAGGCGTTTTAGAATATATATGATATAATGAGGAAATCATGTTCCAATACTGGATGAACAATCACTTGCATCATTCTCGTAGTCCCGGGTATAGCTTTCAGGGCCTGCAAGGAGTCCCCAGGACATTCTTTAAACATTGAAGCTGCATGATATTAAAAAGAAGTACAATTAATGTTCATCAATGGCATGTGAGAAGTAATTAAAGTAATCATGCTTAATTATATTGCATCTTGTACAAATCTTATGACTGATACGAGGACTGCATAGCTAGAAAATAGATGATACAAACAAAGAGGGGAAAGATCACATTTTTAAGATTAGAAATTTACTAAAAATACTTTTGATTGAAGCTCTGATACTGCCAGGATGTCAGATAAAGAAATTTACGGTGGAGCAGCGACAGCCGACAACTTACTATGGCCCTTTCAGCCACCAGATGGCGAGGGAGCTGCCTTAGGGTCCCCTCAATATCATTACTTTCCTCATAATATTCCCAATAACGTCTTTATAGTTTGAAACAAGCCACAGAGTTAATGGTCTGAACATAGAATCAATGAAAGGATATCTCCTTCTCTTTGATCAAGGTTCATTCTTACTGCACTTTCCCACTCTCCTCGGAGCAGTGCAGCTCCATTGAAATGCGTTGACACTGAACCACTTCCAAAACGCTGAAAAGAATACAATACAAGTCAAATCATTGGAAACTAAGTAAAGCAATTTCTGAAGATCAGCAACTACTGTCAGCCAAACACTCAGCAGGCTTCCGAAGGGATTATCAAGGAAGTACCTGTAAACCAAAATAGTTAACGAAACCATGCCTTCCTAAGGAATTTGCAGATGCCTTGATGGTGTGTTCAGAATCTGCAATGATTCCTCTAAGGAAATGTGTAAAAGCTGTGAGCTCAAAAATGAAATTTGTATTGACTGTGCCTTTCAGGCGTTGTTCAATGCCTATTGAAAAGAACTCTGTCCAAAATAAAACAACAAGCAACCGCCATTAAGATTGTCATTTATTATTCATATATCCTGGATAAAATCTTAACAGTGCAATCAAACAGATTAAGATACAAGGAATAAGAACATATCTGTCCAAAATTTAGAAGTGCGAAAATTTGATTGAACAAACTTGGTAGTAGGACTAAACATGCATTAATGGGGACTGATTTGGTTTTTTTTTTTTTTTCTTTTCATATAAGTATTTATCATTCATCAGTCATGACATTCCAAGAGGTCAACAATAAGGAGATAAAAAAAGAAAAAACCGGTCTAAGAAACATAGTTTAGAGCATCTTCAATGGAGATGGTAAACGAAAGAGATAAAAATAAAATAAAAATATTATTTTAATTTGTTAATATATATTTTAAAAAATGTCATTTCTTTAATGCTAAAATACTATTTATTATAATAATACATTTTTAATTTTTTTAAATATATACTATTTTATTTTTATGAAATTATTATGATATTATGGATTCTTCTCATGAATTTAAAAAGTTTAAGTAAGATTTTTTTAATTAATTTTTTTAATTTTATATTTTAATATTAAATTAATTAAGAATTTTCCCACAATTAGCTGTTATAAATAACTTTTTTATATTTAGAATGTAAATTAAAAAAGTTATATTTATATTGTTCAAAAATCTTTTTTTAATTTTATATTTTAATATTAAATTAATTAAGAATTTTCCCACAATTAGCTGTTATAAATAACTTTTTTATATTTAGAATGTAAATTAAAAAAGTTATATTTATATTGTTCAAAAATCCATAATAGCATATCTGTAACAGAGTCCACAGACACTCTGATAGAGGAACGCACAAAGAGAAGGAGAGAGAAGCACAATAAATATGGTGACAAAAACAGAAGAGATGCAATTGAATAGATTGGAGAGTCAAGTGGACAATGGAGGAGGAGGGGCATGGGAGTATCTCTGCATGGTTAGAAAGCTCAAAGTTAGGCGTTCTGTCAAGGTGTTTAAGCATGGTTTATTGATCTTGAATGACTCCAAGAAAAGATCCAGTCTTGGTCCTGAAGGTGCACTTTCTCTCTTTTGATGGGTTCTTTTATTGATTTGCTCCTCTGGGTTGCTCAATTATTGGAAATTTGGAGTCTTTTTGGATTAGTTTTGTTTCTGGGTTTGAAAGTTTGGAGCTTGATTTGAATTGGGTTTGAGTAAGAATTACCGTGACTGTGCAATTTGGTTAGTGAGTTATGAAATTTTTTGTTGAATAATTGAGATTTGAGGTTTTGAAACTTGATGTTGATTGTTTATGGATTGCAAACACACACGTTGTGCTGGTTGTTTCAATGGTTTAAAGCTCCTTTTTTAACGAATTGCAGCCACTTAGTTGTTGAATGTATACTGATTTATTAGTACTTCGTTGTTGATGTAGAATGGACTCTATATGAGCAGGTTGCAGTTGCAGCCATGGACTGCCATTCTCTTGAGGTTGCAAAGGTATCAATTGTTTCATTTTCAGCTTAGTGTTTTTTTTTATATGCTTTATTTTAGTTTCATATCATTTTCACTCTAGGTGCTTTACCAGATGTTTATACTGATTATTAACGAAATAATTTCTGTAGATTGAGAATAGTTAATATATTCATTATTCTTGGATTTTTTCATATCGCACTTGTCTCACTCCTTTTATTGTTCTTATAGTTAATAATCTCGCGTAGGCACACAGTACGAGCTATTGCAAAAGACGCTGGTTGTGCATTTCTATGATATGTCCTAATGCCTTGAGATTTCATTAGCTCAAAGAAATCAAACTCATATCTATGTTCCACCATACTTCTCAGTTCTTCTGATGTTAAATATAACACGAATCCTTAATTTCTGATTGTTGGTGAAGCAATATTTTGGACAAATTATGGTTCTTCTGTGAGTTAATTGATATTCCAAACAGGTGTTAGCTTTAGCTTTTGGTGATGGTTGATTTTCTGAGGGTTAGCAGGCAGTGGGTACTTATTTGGCTCCAGGATCACTTTCTTGTTTTTATTGTAATTTTTGCTTCTATTCTTTCTTAGCCCTTGGCCCTTAACAAGGATGTGCTTAGAAAGTCCACCTTATTCATTAAATTTTCTTGTTCCTTAGCCTTTATTTTAGGTGCTCACTATTCCTCAACTGTTTATTTTTAAGGCATAACTGTGAGGCATGCTATTTTTTCTGATCGAGCCAAAACTTTATAATAAAAAACTGTAATCTCCTGAACATTTTAGAATGTTGGGTGTGATGTAAATTGAGTGAATAAAGATTTTTGGACAATTTATCCTTGAAACTTCATTCATGTCTCTCTTTTTTTTCATGTAAATTGAGTGAATAAAGATTTTTGGAAAATTTATCCTTGAAACTTCATTCATATCTCTCTTTTTTTTTCTTCTTTCGTCACTTTTGCATTGCCTTTCAACATGAGTGCTATATAATTGAGTCTTGCATCCATAGGTTTTGTATTCGAGCTCATTTGACTTTACTCATGCTTTTTCTGGTTGCTGTAGTTGGGTGGTATGAGATTCTTTGTTTTGAAGTTGATGCAATATGTAATCTACAATCTTTTGCAGGACTGTGTAAATGCGTTGCGGAAGAAATTTCCAGAGAGTAAAAGAGTTGGTCAGTTAAAAATAACATATGGCTTACAAGTGTGCTTTGTTGTGGTTAAGAGCGGGAACTAATAACGATCTTTCAATTGCATGTGATGCATAATCTTACATGGCCAAGTTCCCTATCATTTAATAGCTCTCCTGCATTAAGAAATTCTTAGATCACAGTTAGCTCATTTTTTAAATTGTTCTACAAGGTGAGGTGGTAGTTTGTTTTTTCTTTAGCGTCAGTGGGGATACCAAGTCATTGGACTTCAAATAGGAACATCGAAATGTTAATATTATGACCATACACATTCGTTTGTGTGGCTTTAGGTGTTTTCTCTACAGTTTAATTTTTCAGCTGTAGTTTGAGTCCCTGTAGAAAGTACAAGGAAAATTTTTGTTTTGATCTTAACATGTGATGGAATGGTTTTTTCTTTTTCCACACAAATCACAGGCAGACTGAAGGCAATGTTACTTGAATCAAAGGGGTCTTGGGGAGAGGCAGAAAAGGCTTACTCAAGCCTTTTAGAGGACAATCCTTTTGATCAGGTAAATTTTTGTAACCAATTTGTTTTTGAAATGTAGTTCCTTATAAAGCCTCATTTTTGTAACCAATTTGTTTTTGAAATGTACCTTATAAAGCCTCGTTGTGCTGTCTTTCTCAATCGTGAAGTATTATTGGTGTTAATTAAGAAGAACTTATATTCAAATCAGGCCAATGCCATTTTTCTTACGTAGGTAGTACACAAGAGAAGGGTAGCTTTGGCAAAGGCACAAGGCAATTTGACAGGGGCAATTGACTTGCTCAATAAGTATCTTGAAACGTGAGGCAGTCCTTAAAATCCTACCTTGTCCCAGTTTTGGTGATATTAATTAACACAGGACTGAATTTGGTCTTATGTTATTTTTCCTCTTTTCCTTAGATTTATGGCTGATCATGATGCCTGGAGAGAGCTTGCTGAAATATACATCTCCTTGCAAATGTGAGGAATTTTTCTTTATATGTTGGGAAAGCTACTGTCTATCAAATTATTTGTGTGTTGCTGTTTTATTCTTTATCAGTAGCTTAAACCAGTTCCCGCCTTAATGAATTAGGTACAAGCAAGCAGCGTTCTGCTATGAAGAGCTGATATTATCTCAACCTATGGTCCCGCTGTATCATCTAGCGTATGCTGATGTGAGGAACTTCTTTATTTCAGCTATATTATCTCAACCTGCAGTTCCACTGGATCATTTAAGCCTATGCCACTGTATCATCCTGCTTCTTTAAATTAGTAACCACTGCTGAAGCTATTGTTTTTTATTATTCTTATCTTTTGCTAAAAGCTTCTAAGCAACATTATTTGGAGAATAATTTTATATTGGCTGCATAACCAGAGATATCAAAACATAGAATTCACTGGTATATCCAAATAGGATCGTGCATTTGACATCAACTGAACCGTGCTGGGCTGATGCTTAAAGAATTCATCTTGCATAGACTTTTTATTGGGCATTTCAAACAATTTTAGGAATATGGATAGAATGCCAATTTATGACATGTAACACAGACCATGATAGTATGTGCTAATATTATTAGGCATGCACAGGAATAGCAACCCAGATCAATTCATAGACGACTCCCTTTGTTAACAATGACTACTAAATTGCCTTTGCTTTCTTGAATCAACAGGTGCTTTACACTCTTGGTGGAATTGAAAACCTTCTGACAGCGAAGAAATATTATTCTTCCACCATAGATTTGACTGGGGGCAAGAACACCAGGGCACTTTTTGGTATTTGTTTGGTGAGATACCTCCTCCTCCTCTGTGTGTGTATATGCTGCAAATATTTTACTTGAGGATGTAGCTACATCTTCTTTGGGGTGATTCTGGCATTGAGATTCGTTGTTTAGGTTTTCTTTTCTCCTTCCTTTGAAGTTCCCATCTAATGTTTGTATTGAGGCCATTTTATAGCTTCATTATTATCTTTAGGAATTCGAAGCTCTCCTTTTTCCTATCCCGCGCCTTTGACGATGTTTCTGAACTATGTGACTAACAAGGAAATTATGATTCTTTGTCACCAGTGTACCTCAGCTATTGCACAGCTTTCAAAAGGACGAGACAAGGAAGACAAGGACAGTCCAGACTTGCAATCTTTGGCAACAGCAGCTTTGGAGAAAGAGTACAAGCAGAGAGCTTCTGACAAACTCTCTGTGTTCACTTCAGGTTTTAAAAGCTTGAAAGTTTCATCATAACTCGATCCTTTTTTTTTTTTTTGAAGATTTTCGTTGTTGCCCCAGACTCTAAAATCTGAAGTGGCCCTCAGTAACGTAACCAAAAGCTAAAATTTATAAACATTGCAGATTCCATATAATTTAAATGAGTTATAATATCGGTCTTTTTGTTGTTTATTTTTCCTTTGATTTTTTTTTCTATGGTGAGGTCCTTGATAAGAGGATTTGATGTATTATTTGGAATGCACAGATCACAGACAAGGAAGATTACAAGGATTTTTCCCACTTGCATTATTTGGATTTTATCCACGTTCGGCTTCCGGCTCATTTCCTTGCCTTAGTATTTGGAGTTCTCTGATTTTCAGTGCCATGGATTCACTAACGACAAAATAAAATGTGTGAAATGGGAGGAAAAAAAAAACTCATCATATTATTATGATCCCTAGAAATTCTAATTAATATTTGAAGATCTAAAATGATGGATTGGGGTATGCTTAAAAAAAATATACTATCAACTTTAAACATCATATCTATATTAGATAAACTGTATTGCTAATTGCATTTTATTTTAATAGTCTGTGATAGTCTGTAATGACTAATCTATCAATGATTTACTTACATGGGTGAGAAAAGATTCACTACAATGAGTTAAATCCAAAATAGGTTTTGATATTTTCAAGTTTTTAATTTAATATTTTTAATTTTTGTTACTTCCAATTAATATTTCTTTATTTATTTACTTCTTATTATGACATGTCACTATTAATAATTTATTAAATAAGTTAGTTTTTATTGGGATCATGGAACCCAAATCCAAATTCTAGGAGAAGATATCGTTAAATATTTTGTTTATAAAACAATGATCCATGAATAATAAGCTATTTAGGCTCATTTATCTTATAATAGGACAAGATATTGTTAAATATTTTGTTTATAAAACAATGATCCATGAATAATAAGCTATTTAGGTTCATTTATCTTATAATATTAATTTTTGCTAAATGAGATTTTTGTGCCCCAATTCTTAGATATTCAAGCAATAATTATTTTGAATTGATTTACTTGAAGGTAAAATTTAGTGGCATATACCTTTAAAATTTCATAAGAAATTAATACTCTTAATTAACACTTAAATATCATCAATGAATATTAAGCTAAATAAGAAATTAATACTCATAATTATTATTATTACAGTATCATTGATGAATAATATATGATCTAAAGGTTTAATAAGAAGACATATTTCAAAAACTAAGGATATTAAGAGGTACGTATTACTTCTTATTAATATTAAGATAATTGCTCGTTATAAATATATTTTCAACACAATTTTATAAAAGAGAACTTGTTTTTTAGGGTTTTGGAATGTTGGTCTTATGATATTCTTTTTAATGTGGATTAAATGATGACAATTTTTACAAATAAATCATTAAAATTCCAAAATAGATGCATGTGAACATATGACAAATATATTTTTTTAATGCGAATATAAAAAATAAAAATACTAAAATAATATTAATAATTAACAAGACATTTATGAATTTAAAAATAGATGTAAGGATGTGTATATAGCTAACCATTACGAGCATGAGAGGGTAAATCCTAAATAAAATCTAAACAGTAGAGTGAAAGGATTTCAAACTTCCACGTACTCTTTCGTGCATTATAAAAAAGAAAATGCTCATAGTCCACTATTTTCACATTTTATTGCAAACAAGGACATAAAATATGAACTCCAGAATAATCAAAGAAGGTGGGCTTAAAGTGATAATGGTGTTTAGTTTGAATTCATGTGGGGACATAGCTGAAAATTAGAATATTAATTTTATGTTTGTATAAAAATGATTGACACGATATAATATAATAAAAAACTTGAATCTACTCGCATTCTAATTAATTTGTGATAAAATCTGCTCAAATTCTAAAAAAAAGAAATCTTTTTACTTTTTTAGAAAGCTGTTTAAAACAATGTTATCTAGCTATTTATAAACTAAAGGATGAAATTAATAACAAATAATCAATTATATAAGAAGATTTAATTGATAAAAATGTAATTAATAAAATGAGGGTGAAAATAAAAATAAAAATAAAAAATAAATTATACCAATTTTTTTGAATTTAAAGATTAAATTAAAAAGAAAAGTAATTTTAAAAAATAAAATAAAAATAAGACAACAAATGAGTTTACTCGTGTCTCCGTGATATTTTATGTATTTTTGTATAAAAATTGTTGAAAAAATAGGTTGTAGAGACAAAATTATCTTCCTCGATCTCCTGACACAAACAATAGCTGCTGATGAAGAAATCTCAGGACAACATATAGCCTGCACGTGGCATTTTGTTCCTAAGAAATCCTACGCTTCCCTAACCTACCTTTCCACGATAGAGGTGAATTAAGTGGCTGATGTGAGTAGATCACGATGCTATTTTATAAAAGATCAGCCAGTGATAGATTTGATGGTTGGTTGATGAGATTCTCTCCCCCCTTCGCTATGTTTTTAACGGACAAGATCTTATAATACATTAACCAAGTGTGAATGTCTTACATCTAATAGATGTGACGACAAAATGCCTTCGGACAGACATACCGCGTTTTCGTACAGTAAGTAACAACCAAAACAGCTTCCAGGGACCAGTAGTAGAATATATATATATATATATATATATAAAGAAAACCCTAAGTGGAACTTTTCAAGATCCAAGAAAGCTGATTTTAGGAAGAATCAAACGCCTTGCAAGCTGATCAAACAACCAAGATGAAGCAGCAATACTTAAGGACACACACCACTGCTTCCGATCCAGTTTCTCATTGCTGTTAGTCACCTTGCTCGATAACTCCACTATCACTCCTTGAGCAACTGTGACTACAAGCACAGCCGCTAAGAAACGCTTGTTCTTGCGTATCCACATAAACATGCTCTTCTTCTCCACAGGCAGCCTCGCAGTAAATATATTGAAAACTTGGCAGATGACTGAGGTATTGAAAACAAGTGTGTTATTAATCGCCAAATCCAGAATTGACTTACCCACAGTGAATTGTAGAGCTGATAGAGTAACTGCCTGATAAAAGACCTGGATGAGGATGTTGTTGAAGATGCTTTCGTTGATAGGTCGCTTGGACCAGCATACAGGAGGCTTTCTCATGAGATCTTTGGACGGCTGGTCATGACTGATCACTGCTAGTAGGCCCAGGGTATCAATGATAACCTTTTCCCAGAGTATCTGGAATGCTGACAATGATAATACACCAGAAGAACAAGCTGAGATAAGGTTGATGACAAGGGCTGCAACGTTCATTGTAAGCTGAAATTGAATGAACTTCTGAATATTGTTGTAGACGCACCTTCCCCAGCTCAACATAGTCACCACGGAAATGAAGTTATCATCCAATATGACAATTTTTGAGCTCTCTTTCGCCACCTCAGTCCCTCTTATTCCCATGGAGAGCCCAATATCTGCTTCCTTCAAAGCTAGGGCATCGTTGGTACCACCACCAGTTACTGCTACCACATGACCGTCCTCCTTTAAACATCGAATCATTTCAAGCTTGTCAGATGGGGATGAACTTCCCATCACAAGGAGTTTCCCAATCCTTTCCATTCTCTGCTCCCGCGAGTAGTTACTGAATTGGACTCCTTCTACTATAGCATCGCTTTCCACGTCCTCTTGATCACAACTGAAAACTCCACATTCAATGGCTGTAGCTCTTGCTGTACGAACATCGTCACCGGTGACCAATATAACTTTCACTCCTGCATTCTTACATGATTCTACCGCCGTTCTAACCTCTATTCTGTATGGGTCCTTCAGCCCCACGAGCCCCAACAAAGTGAATCCAAATGCTTCAAGCTCGTCAGAGGCCTGTCCACCTTCTTCAACTTCTTTACAGGCAAACGCCATACAGCAGAGGCTTTTGACTGCCATACTCCGAATGATCTCCTTCAACTGCTTTCTTGCATCCTCATTCACGTCTCTAATCTCCCCATTTCTAACATAATAGTTTGAACACATGGCTAGTATCACCTCGGCATCTCCCTTCCTGTGACGAACTACCTTCTCATTGTTTCTCCTCACCAATAGTACCCCGCTTCCGTTCTTCTCAGGATCGAAGTTCTCTACATGTTTTATTTCAACTTTTTTCTTTTCCTCGCCAATATTTATGCCCAAATGCGACATAGCCCAGGAAAGTATTGCCTTTTCAGTTGGACTACCAGAAATTTCTAGAATTGAAGTAAACCCTTCTTGTAGCAACTCAAGGACCTTCGATTCTATTTCACCACTTGAAGGTTTAGCTTTGATTATATCTTCTCCAATGAAGAATTCCACAACCTCCATCTGATTCAAAGTAAGAATGTCTTTCTTATCTATGATGATTGTTGTCGCTGAACCCATTTTTTCACAAGCAGAGAGTTCACGAACCATGACTCTCTCTTTCATCATTCTCTTCATGAAGTATAGATAAGTCAGAGTTACAGCCAAAGAGAGACCTTCAGGAGTTGCCACCACCACAATAGTCACAGCTGCAACAATAATGTGCACAACTGGATCCAGCACATCATTAATCTTTGTCTTGCTCCCATTGTATTCATAATGACCACTATCATCTCTAGTGTTCCGTGTGAAGTACCTCATCAGCAGCACTGCAAGAACCAATAAAGCAACTGTCCATCCAACCTTCCTCATGTAAGAAATGATCTTATCGAGGTGCGATCGTAATGGAGTCTGTTCATCCAGATCATGGCTTCTAGAACTCATCATCTCACCCCATGCTGTATTCATGCCAACAGACGTAACAAGCATGAAGCCATTGCCCTCAGCCGCCTTTGAGCCAGAAAGCAAGAAAGGGTTGTCCCTTCCTTTCACCTCAGCATGGCCCATTTCACTACTCATGCTTGATTCATCCACCTTCAAAGAAGAATCATTCAAGAGCAACCCATCAGCTGGTATTTGGTCTCCTTTATTCAAATACACCACGTCGCCCACCACCACATCAAAAATAGAAATCTGATGTTGCCTCCCGTCTCTCACTACTTGTACCTTTATATCATTTCTCACACGTGATAGTTTCTCAAACTGATTGGATTTCATGAATTTGCTAATAGCCGAGACAGCAACAAGATGAACAGCTGCGAGAATAATACTGCCACCATCGTACCACCCATCTCTCAGCCCATGCA